CTAAAGGAGAGTACGAATCAGGTCATTTGAAGCATTTCAAAATTTTCCGTCCGTACTTGTCCCCGCGCGCGGTGCGCGCGCTCACAGCGCGCGGAAAAGGTCAAATTCAATTTGTTTACATGATTTAGATTCCTCTTACCGTAAATGACAATTTACATTAATTTCAGTCACTCTTGACCTTTCATAAGGCCGTGAGCGCGCGTCAAAGTTCAAATTCCGCGCGTGCTGCTATGGGCAATATAATGTAAATTTGATCAAAAACATGCCATTTTAAAAATCGAAATAGCTCTTCAGATAGTCCATTGACCCCCAATTTTTATATCATGGTTGGAGAAAGCATGAGTTGGAGATATGATTTCATACCACCCTGACTCGTACAAAGTGTAACAAAGTCTTCATATTGACATCTAAACTCAACAAAATGTATTTTTTTGATGACGTCATTTTTGTCTTTGTTTAATTGAGATTATCTAACTTATCTGTGATCACTTTTCTCTCAGATTTTGATATGTTGTAGCTGAGATAATTTTCTATCAAAAAATGCCATTCATTTTTCATTTCAATGACGTCATCATAGTTAAATATTCCATTAAAGACGACAATGCATAATTTGTCATATTTGCGTGTTATGTCTATGGGAGGTCACTTTTTTCAAAACATGAATCTGCATGACAAGGTGTTTTGACCAGTATCTCGGTTGTTATTCAACAGTTTTCTCCCAAATTTTAGTATGTTGTAGCTGAGACTATTTGCTATTTAAATATTTCCTTATTTTTTCAATCAAATGTCAGGATCATGCTTGTGCTCATCATCATCATTAACATTATCGTTTTTCTCATCATATAACATTATCATTATCATCATCACCTTTACTATCATGATCATCATCATGGTCATCATGATCATCATTGTTTACATGTCTATATAACTTCTCCCATTCTCAATTCTATCATAAGACTTAGACAGACCACCTTATTCGTCTTCGTGACGAATTAAATTTCTAGTTTTTATTTATTTCTCCCCACTTTTTTGTGCCTAGGATAACTCAAGATCAGTTCAGTCAATTTCGTTTAATTTTGGCACAGTCATAGGTAATTGTCATGAGACGTGACAGTAACATTTTCAAGGTCATCAAGTCTTCATGACGTCATCCAGGCGCCATTTTGTGAAATCCCATTATCCATCATATCTTCATGACGCGTCATCAAAGGTCATTCATATTCATATCACATAAACTTCAGGTCAAGGGTCAACAGGTCATGTCATCAAAGGTCAAATAAAGGTCATGACACGCGCGTACGCGCGCGTCAAATTTTAAAAATGTTCAAAATCACTTAAATATTAAACGAGAGTACGAATCAGGTCAATTTAAGCATTTCGCAAAAAAAAACGCGCACACGCGCATGCGCGCGTTTTTGCGCGTCACGGCTTTTTGCAACATAGAATCGCCGAATTTTCCCGGTCATCATATTTGGCACATTTTCCCAGCATTTTGATACCTTTTTCACCTTTTTGTGAACATTGATAACGGAATGAGCATCCGTTTATTAAAGATAAATGTACTTGCGTGTTAACTTTTGTAATACATAGCATACATGGGCAAAAACATACCTATACAAAATCCGTTGTAGCTCTTTAAGATGCCCGTTGACCCCTAATTTTATTTTCATATTTGGATAGAGTATGAATGGTAGATATGATTTCATGTCTCATTTGACCCTAAATGAACTCATGACGTCATCATAATAGCCTTTGAACTCAAAATTTCTATTTGCTTATTATGACGTCAGCATATTTTTAGAAAATTGATTGTATCTCTGTAAATATTGATCAATTTTCCTTTAAATTTGGATATGTTCTAACTGAGACAATTTTCTACGAGTACAGTTTCACGATTTCTCATTTTGAGAAAGGCATCATGGCGTAACTTTGCGATTAAAGGATCATCTAACATTATCATTATCATCATCATCACCATTACTATCATGATAATCATTGTTTACATGTCGACATAATTTCTCCCATTCTCAAATATATCATAAGAAGTGAAGACAGACCACCTAATTCGTCCCCATGACGAATTAAATTTCTAGTTTATTATCTATTTTTATTTATTTCTCCACTTTTATGTGCAACCGATTTCTCAATATCCATCCACCCAATTTCTCTCAATGTTGACACAGTCATAGGTAATCATCATGAGACGTGACAGGAACATTTTCGTGACGTCATCCAGGCGCCATTTTGTGAAATCACATTATCCATCATATCTTCATGATGCGTACTCAAAGTTCATTCATATTCATATCACATATACTTCAGGTTAAGGGTCAACAGGTCATGTCATCAAAGGTCAAATAAAGGTCATGACACGCGCGTACGCGTTCGACAAAATGTAAAAATGCTCAAAATCACTTAACTGTTAAACGAGAGTACGAATCAGGTCATTTTAAGCATTTCAAAATGTTCCGTCCGTACGTGTCCCCGCGCGCGTTGTGCGCGCTCACAGCGCGCGGAAAAGGTCAAATTAAAAATGTTTACATGATTTGGATTCCTCTTAACGTAATTGACAATTTACATTAATTTCAGTCACTCTTCATATTTCATAAGGCCGTGAGCGTGCGTCAAAGTTCAAAATCCGCGCGTACTGCTATGGGCAATATAATGCAAATTTGATCAAAAACATGCTATTTTAAAAATCGAAGTAGCTCTTCAGATAGTCCATTGACCCCCAATTTTTATATCATGGTTTGAGAAAGCATGAGTTGGAGATATGATTTCATACCACCCTGACTCGTACAAAGTGAAATAAAGTCATCATATTGGCATCTAAACTCAAACAAATGTGTTTTGTTGATGACGTCATTTTTTTCTTTGTTTAATTGAGATTATCTCACTTATCGGTGATCGATTTTCTCCCACATTTTCATATGTTGTAGCTAAGATAATTCTCTTCTAGAACTATGGCACTTATTATTTTATTTAGATGACGTCATCATAGTTAAATATTCGATTAAAGGCGACAATGCATAATTTGTCATATTTGCGTGTTATGTCTAAGGGAGGTCACTTTTTTCAAAACATGAATCTGCATGACAATGTGTTTTGACCAGTATCTCGGTTGTTATTCAACAGTTTTCTCCCAAATCTTAGTATATGTTGTAGCTGAGACTATATGGTATCTAAATATTTCTCATTTTTTCAATCAGATATCAGGATCATGCTCATGCTCATCATCATCATCATCATCATCAATATCATCATCATCATCATCATCATCAATGTCACCATCACCATCATCATCATCATGGTCTGAAGATGATCATCATCAACATCATCATGATCATGATTATTATCATCAACATCATTAACATCGTTTTTATCAATATATAACATTATCATTATCATCATCATCATCACCTTTACTATCATGATCATCACCATGTTCATCACGATCATCATTGTTTACATGTCTACATAACTTCTCCCATTCTCAAATCTATCATAAGACTTAGACAGACCACCTTATTCGTCTTCGTGACGAATTAAATTCTAGTTTTTATTTATTTCTCCCCACTTTTTTGTGCCTAGGATAACTCAAGATCAGTATTTCTCCTGATATCGACTACAACACCAGTGTGTTTTTTTTAAAGAAAGAAAACCCGAAACACTTATATCTACTAAACATTACTAAAGACCATTCAATGAATAATATGAAAGTCAATTATATAACTGCAGCAGCACAACCTCGTTTTGTTTCTCATTTTTGACCCCTCCCGACCCAATCATGACAGACATTGCGAGGGGTAACATTGTCCAAACAAGCCATGATATCATTCTCACAAGCCATGATATCATTCTCACATCATTCCTATGGTATAGTATATTGTCAATGTGAGCTATTATTTGGTTTATTAAATGTATTTATTTTCTATCAGCGATTGATCCATGCGCAAACAACCCTTGTGTGAATGGAGGAACATGTCAACAAGATCCAAGCAACTGTCTCAACTTCATCTGTAGCTGTGACGCCTGCTTCCAAGGACCGACCCGTGCCACTGGTATGTTGATGTGATCAGATATTTTGTTTATGTTGAGTGACAAAATAATGATACAATTCGAAATATTTTTAGCGAACATTACGACATTTATCATAAAAAGAAGAAAGTGATTCCAAAAAAGTGAGTCCAAAGGCTATAATTGCTAGATACATATATCGTCGCTGATTTTACGAACCGGCATACGAAGCGTTTTTCGTGTCAATTTTCGATTTTAATATTTTTACATATTCTGAATGGAATTACCATGATCAACATTTCTGCAAAATTTTAGGTCATAAAACGCTTTAATTAAAAAGTTATTCGATTTTATAAAATGTGTGCGCTTTGTATGCCAGTTCGTAAAGCTCGAGTTAACGCGCGAAAAGGAATTTGTTGATTTTACGAACCGGCACGCCTAGCTATAACTAGTCTGCTAGCAGAATAGGATTCACCAAAATTTGATGCTTAAACTTCGAGTCTGCGTGGAACTGGTGAGTTGAGGTTTATTTTGTTCTCGATTCAATGAAAATGTATGCACGTCGTGATTGAGTTATCTATAAAATTGTAAATAAACCTCTCCTAAATTGGTGATTACCCTATGATTATTTCCTCTTTCGTAAACCCAGTCACACATGTAGCGGGTTATGTTAGTGTACCAGTGTATTAAAGCACGTGCGTGCAAACAATTTTAAAGTGTTTCGCTCAATGAGATTAGATTAGATTCTGGGGTTATCGTAGTAACAAAAGACCCAATTTATTTCCTACTAACCTGTGGGCTAAATGTTAAGAACTTAAAGTAATGTGATGTGGCAAACCTGGCATGATTTCAGAGATGGGTTCTGTATCTGTTGCTGTATAAATATACCACTGGCACTAGTGACTAGTCTAGTGAGTAGTGAGTACACTGCATCTATGCTCGTACTCATCGAAAACTGTTTCACTTTCAGCAACTAAACAAGGATATTGTGATGTGTTGTCTCTCATAGTGGTCACGATAAATTAGTGCAGAGTAAAAGAAATGACTTGAAACAATATAATTCAACAGTCTCACTGGGTCTAAACTTTAGTGCACTAAAATTATTGTACATGTAGAACCACATGCCTTCTCCAGGTCAGGTCTAGCACTTGGTAGGTTTGCCAGTGTTAGAGATACGATTATCAAATATCAGGTTTTATTTTCTTTATAAACTATTGCTATTATAAATACCTTTATTAAATCATTAGATGGAGTTTATCCAGGATAGCCTTGTCCTGTAGAACAGGGACAAATCTACTAACTTGACTGATATCAAAAGGAGAAAGAATTCGGTACCAAGGAGAGGCACTTCGGTGAAAATGAAATAGGGCAGCAGGTGGTTGCGGGGAAAATGTTGGCAGTGTCAGAACCTGGACTTGTACACACCATGGATATGGGAGACATCCCATTAGCTGAGCGTGGTTAGTAATACATTTTTTTATTCAGATACTTTCTTCTCGTTAATGCACATCATCCAAATTACTTTCTATAAAGACTGTTAACAAAACTGAGTACATTTCATAGTTTGCAGTTGGGTACTAGTAGTGTGTGAAATAGATTAGTTGATATGCTTTTTAAAATTTGGGATTATGTTGAGAGGCTACAATCCTTACACTGGGATGAATTAATGCAATTCACTATTTTTCTTTACCAGAGATTTGGGGAACACAATTGCGGTCCCTTAGTAACTTTAGTTTATTTGTTTCTGGGTATAGTGATATTTAAGCGAACATTAGAAAATGTTTATGGTGTAGAATGCTTCCAATGCAGTCCATTAATTTATCTCATTATTTTTGTTTCATTCTGAATAATCAAATGCAAATATCATATGTATTGCTTTGCAGTGATTCAGATACGTTCACGCCCAATGACCGATGATACTAAGTTTGACTACCCAAGGATTGACAGCCTAAAAATGCTCCTAACAGAGTTGAAATGCCCATCAGAGTTCCAGCAAGGATGTAATGTCCCATACATTGACCCCTTTTGATTGAAGACCAGCCAACTTAAAGCTCACAGATTGGTGGTTAGTTATTCCACATTCTATTTTTTTTTGTAGCTAACAAAGATATACATTTAGCCTATGTTAATGTAACTAGATACGTGTATAATACTGATTATTATAATTAGTTTTGAAGTTTGACATACATGTACATACCTGAAAATAAATGAAATTACCACCTTGCAGTATAATTTTATGACAGATATCATTGTCCTAACGAATGGTAAGTGTTTGAAAAATGAATCATGCAATTTTCATTCCAGTTAAAGAAAAGTTATAGTTTTGGGTAATATTCATTACACCAACTAGTATATTTCAAGCATATATTTATATGTACATGTTTGTGAATACAGTTTAACCTGTCTACAGCGACCCCGCCCCCCCCCCCCCACTTCGAGAACGGACGGACCCCATGCGTGTTGCCAAAATGTCCTTTTCGTAACAAAAGAAAAAGGTCGACCCGTATTGACTTTACACACCGGACTTTTGCTGAAAAAGGGGGGGGGGGGGGTGCTGAAAAAGGCTCGTATACAAAAGAAAAAGGTCGAGCCGTATTGACTTTACACACCGGACTTTTGCTGAAAGGGGGGGGGGTCGGTTGGAACACGCATTTGCGTACCCTAAATAACACTGAGTGGGGGGGGGGGGGGGCGGGACAGCGACCGCCCAAGGGAAACACAAAAAGTAGTCCTCGTAGACAGGTGGTCTTTGTAGACAGGTTCCTTTAGTACATGTTTCAATGAGAAACCATTTTCAAGGGAAACAAAAATTGTGGTCCTTGTAGACAGGTGGTCTTTGTAGACAGGTGGTCACTAAAGCAGGTTTGACTGTGTCTGGATTTTATTCTGAAACTATGAATTGTGATCAAACAACATTCACAAGTGATTAGAATATTGTGATAAGAACTTAGCAAGTGGCTACGTAAAAAAATAAGTTTCAAGAATTACCAGATGTATCTTTCTTTAAATTCTCTGTTGACATTCACGTTGAATCTGCTTGCAAGGGGAATATGGGTTATCAAATTATTAATTGTTGTATAACTACCTTTCAGTTTTTGTTCACAATTTATTATACATGTATTTGGATTCTGGGTAAGCCTGATATGAAGTTGTTGTTTTGTTTTGTTTTTGGCTGCTATAAACATGTACCTACTCCAGCATACATGTATTTATCTGTATATAGTATTCCATGATATTTTCTTGTCTCATTTCAAAATTCCTCTGTTGTATTTTTATGCTCCCAATGAAATGAAATAAATGAATGATATCATTTTTTTTATTTCCAGTGATTCAAATGGCCCCAGTTCTACAAAAGGATAGCCCACTGTTTGCTGACAGCCCACAAACTGACTGCTATCAGAACAATGGTCCACAAATAATTGCTCAACAAATTGAGAGCCAAGGGATCCCAAACCCATGGACAACAGGTCACTGGTTTTTAGGTAAGTTACAAGTTTACACCTCCTGAATGCAAACTATTGAGTGATATTTAAAAAGTGTCCTTCTATTATTTTTTTTTGCAGGGGATGTCTATTTTAATTACCTTTGGTTAGTGTACAGTGCAGCTTAGAGAAATTAGCTTAGGATTTGCAATGTATGCGTTAACTTTGACTGCACTTTCTAAGTTTGTTGAATCATGATGTATGTGTTACGACAACTTCAACACATTTTGTTGATTTCATTAGAATATATTTTTGTAAAAAATATCCGTTTGTGGCTTCTACAACCTCATATTAAGTAATTTAGACCAAAGCAAGATTTATTAAATTCAATGAACCATCCAAATAAATAAACCAAGACTGATGAGGAATATTGCATATGTGATATTCTTTTCTAAACTGCTCCCAAACTTTGTTGCTCTCTGTGTTAAAGTTCTCGGACCTGGTGAGGACATCCCAAAGGCAGAATGAAACAGAACCCATGAAGATGGATACAGACTTTGAGGATGAAGTACACAAAGTGGATTCTGACACAGAAAACTTCGTGTTAGCTGCTGTGGGTCAGTACTAGCACAGCCGATGTTTCACCTGTTATATTGGATTTTGTATTCATGAAATTTGAATCATAACCATTAAAATTATATACATATATATATATACATTTAAAGAAATATTGTGTAAGCTGTCTAGAAAGGCAAACTGTCTTTAAAGGCCAAGTTCTGTGTTGGGATGGCCTCATTAGACAGGTATTGATGGATAGATTATTTCTGAGGACTGGTATAACCATAACGTACTGACCGATGTTAAATACCATCATTTTGGTTAATACAATTCAATAATAAAAGAGAAAGTGTATTTTAATAAAGCTTCATGGCATTCTGATCAAAAGTGACCGGAAATTGGAATCAAATGTAACATATTTTATCATCAAAAGAGCAAATGGAAAACTTCACATACTACGTATCTTGCAAGGCACTGCCTTCCAGATCGCAATTTGTTAACTATTATGATGAATATGTTCGGCCCATTCTTGAATATGCAACACCGGTTTGGAATAGCGGCATCACCAAAAAACAATGCGAAAGATTAGAAAAATTCCAAAAGCGAGCCCTCCACATCATCGTTGGTGCTCAGTATACAACTTATAAGAACGCTCTTTAATACCTGCTTTGAAATGTAAACACTTGAGCAAATGAGACATTCGCTGTGCACATCTTACATTGGAAAATGTATTTCCAGTAACTAATTAAAGAACATCTTATCCCAGATTACTCAGAAAAGAGTTCTTAGACATACTAAGAAATTACCCGAAATACGTTGCCGAACAAACAGAGTGAACCAAAAGCCACACACCACCACTTAAACGCATCCACGATTCTAGTTAACACTAACAAAGATGTTTCATACCACCAATATTATAGTAATGATGTAATAAAAAAAGTGCAATACTTGAATGCAAACTATAGTTTCAATTACTGATACACACAATTTAATGAAATCTTTTTAAAGTTTTTATGTAGATTATATTATATATATATATATATATATATACCTCTTTTATATTTATACTTGGGTCTAATCTTTGTATCCTTATAATAAATACACCACATCTTCTGTATCGAAGTTAAAAATCTATGATAACCATTCATTTGTAACTGTTTAAATGACTGAAATTATCCCCTTTCTTCGTCTGCTTCTTCTTCTTATAATTCCCCTTTTTATAATCTGGATAAAACATTATAACCTTTTACTTAGAGTAGCTATTATTAATTCGTACAATTAGTCATACGTGTTTTCTATATAAACTTCGCCTCTATCGTTTGTAGTTTGTATAATGTGTAATGCTTGGATATTTATATCGATACCTTATGATAGTGTTACTATTCGCACTACCCTCTGTTTATCCTCTCACTGTCTTCTTCTTCTTCTTCCTCCTTCTCTTATACTTTTTCCTCTTCTTCTTCCTCTTCACCTTCTTTTTAATCTTACCATCTTAATATCCTCTTTTCTTTTCTTTCTTTACTCTTCACCATTATCATGTTCTTCTTCACTTTTCTTTTTCTCCATTTTATATAAAATGAGTTAGGGAGATCAAATAAGAAATAAGAATTTTTAAAGTGAACTATTTGTTTATACAATTTACTTATTCACGTTCAGTTTTGATGTTTTTATATGAATGTTTTTATATATTGTATTTTACATCAGTAAAACATTGCCCAATTGGCCGTTTAGGCCGCGATGCATTGCTATTCTTTTATTCTTTCATTCTTTCACTTTTCTTTTTCTCCATTTTATATAAAATGAGTTAGGGAGATCAAATAAGAAATAAGAATTTTTAAAGTGAACTATTTGTTTATACAATTTACTCATTCACGTTCAGTTTTGATGTTTTTATATGAATGTTTTTATATATTGTATTTTACATTAGTAAAACATTGCCCAATTGGCCGTTTAGGCCGCGATGCATTTTTCTTTTATTCTCAATACAACCATTATCAATCCAATTCAATTCAATTTACCCAATCTGACGTATGGAATATGTTATCTTTGTTATGTTGGGATGTTGGTCCTGATGTTAAGACAATTATTGTTTACATGGTATGGTATGAACAGATATCATATTAGAGGAAGTTGAAATGTCCCCATCCAAAATGATTGAATACAATATAACAAGTCCCAATTGAAGTATAAACGAGCCGTTTCGTAAAATAGAATAGGCCCAAACAGGTTCCAATAACAATAATTTATGTGGTTTCATTCATTAATGAAATATAAACATAACAGAAATTGAAGAAAAAAAATGTGTACCCGGATTCTTTTGTGTTCGTTCAGTGGTTATAATGCATGCGTTCATAATGAATCACCTAGGATTGTAATTGCTTGACCGCATTATTTAGGGAGCGTATGAAATGGGAAGCATGCGTTCTATTTGAACCAGGAAGAGTCGATGTGACAAATATTTTGTTCTCAGTCACCAGCTATGTAGAGTGGACTAGTACAAATTACTCTATCGTCTGAATTTCAATTTCATGTGCGATTTGAGATTAAAGCGACGGATGAACTCAACGTATTTTGTTTTCCAGTTCATCAGATATGACAAATTTGTATTATGACCGTAATATGTTGTGTATCTCGTAAGGCGTAGAAGAAGTGGGTACGGGGGCAGGGGGCATGAACCCAATCAAATGGTGAAGAAAATCAACTTCCCAGGTTGTATCGTGGGTGTGATCCCTGGTTACATGGTGGTTAAAGGTTGTATGGCTTCTGGCTGGCAGCCCCTAACAAAGATTTTGAAAAAAACTACGTAGACAGCAAACATTAAACGGCCAAACAGCTCAGTTAGTGGAACGCCGGTGTCGTGGCGACAAGTGTCTCCGTAAAATCACGTTTAGCAGACAAACTTTGACGTATTTTACTGGCGAGATGTGCGTCCTAGATCGGCAAGATGAGTCTGCGATTGGCGAAAAGTATTTACTAGCCTAAATTGTTTACTTTCGTGACCCATCTATTAAGGAACTACATTTTTTTTTTTTTACATGATATTGTCTAAAAGTACATTCCTGAAAGTCTTCAAGCGCAAAACTCGCGCATTATTAAAAAAAAGAAAAACCCTAAATATTTTTACCAATAAACTCGAGAAAATTATTTAATCACAGCGCTCTAAACATTGCACGAAACGGTATTTCACAAGCCACAGCCAATCAGATCATTTGTTTCATCGACGCAACACTAGCAATCCGTCATATCAACCTCCATACTGCGGATCGAGATGCTAGTAGTGGGATCAGTGGTAGAGAAATATATAACACCCGTTTATTCAAAGAATGGCCTATTAACTCACATGATTCTGTAGATATTCTTTTTTTTAAATGATCCACTTGATATACTTAAATTGCAAGAAGTTTGGAAATGTGATTCAAGCTATGATTCTATTCAATTAGTAACAATCTAGAAAGGAAAGATAAAAATACATCATGTATGTGTTGTTGCTTGCTGTATTAAAGGTAATACAAAGTTTTGGTATGGGGTCATGAATTTGGTTCAAATGAACATGTTGGAAGCATATGCGATTCTACAATATTCAATGATCGTTGTCGCGGTTGAAATCGAGTCTAAAGTTATGAAATTGTAAATAATAAGCGATTTATGTTGTATAGCTCCCTCTCAAGGTCAATATATTAATTTAGCTATGAAACAATGTTTCTTGACTAAAATCGACCAATTGGCTCATACAGTTTGTAAATTATATATCACAACTATATATTCTGAGATTTTCATGGTCGCAACTACTATTGTATGGCCGTAGGCACTATTTGAAATTCATCAAAATTTACCGGGAGCACCGGTAAATTTTTATATTTAATTTATCTCGAAAGCAGAAGTTTTTGAGGGGGTAAATTTTCTAGTGCTTATAATTCACCACAGGAGCATCCAAATATATCAAAATTGGAAATAATCACTATCCAGCCAATTTTCATAATTTCCCGAAACTTTGTATTACCTTTAATTCTAATTGGATCTACCCCCGTAAACATGATTTAGACCATGAGAACCTGGAAATGTTATGGTTTTAAGTAAGATTTAAACATCTACATTTTCATTTAATTGCTTTTGTACATCGAACACATTATTATTACACTGACTTCTATTCTATAAAAGTAGAATTCTAATTTGAACAACCTTTACAATCTACTCAAAATGTTATTATCCTTGGAGATTTCACTTGTAATAATCCTCATTGATAACCTATTGTCATCTAAACTAAAAAAAAAAAAAAAAAAAAATTACCAGAATATTGAATAATAAGATCAAAGGTCAAACGCCATGGGTAAAATTAAATGACAACAAGAACACGACAAGTAAACAGGTACACAATATACACAAACGTTTGATAACATTTGAAATTTGTCCAACTTCTCATACCTGTATAAAATGTGGAATAGAATTTATATAATCAGCTGTGTTTTACAAAATATTATATATATACCATAAAATCTTGTTTTGGTCATTCGATTAACAGTATCTTCTTATTTTAAAAAACTATATTTATGTTTCGAGCTGTCATGGTTAGCGCGTTTAGTGTTTTTGGCCTTTTTATATCTCGATCCATACATCGTGATTATATCCTGAAGGCATACGTCTGTCTGTTACATGCTATTATTATATTAATTGTGGCATAGATCACAATTTTCCATATTTTGATTCTTGTTATTACCTAGGAAGATCTTTTAGAGCCTATGCTGTTATACATGCATGGCTATTCAGTTTTGTCAAACTCGGTCAGTTGCATAGTAGAGGTGTCGTGGACGAGTGGATATGTCACCGGACTGTGGATCACAAGGTCCGCGGTTCATATTGCTCCGGTTGTCTAATTTTCGCCAGCACAAACGTAGCTAGTTCGCCTTCTATAGAACGTATATAGCAGTCGGCAATCGGCGAATCAGACGACACTTGATAGTGATTTTGTATGTGAGATTGCTTTGCTAAATATAAAATGCAAAAA